CAAACAAAGTGAAGTGCTGCCGCTTGGCATTGGCCATTGGCCATGTCCCCTGCCTTTGCCTGTGCCTGTGCCTGTGCCTTTGCCTTTTGGCCCAAAGTGTTGTTGTGCATGCTAACGGTACATTAATTCGCATTCATAAATAACACTAACGAAAGCGAAAGCGAAGCAAAGCCAGCCGCCCGGCAAAGTGGAAATCAATGCAGTCCAAAGCGGAGCAAGCCGAATTAAAGGGAGAGGGGAAAACTCTGCAGCATTTTCCGGGCAGATTCTCTGATTTGTGTTTTCTTTTTTGGAGGGTGGCCTAATTACTTTCATTAGGGGAGCGGTTGACAAATGGGGGACAAGTGTGTTTAGGAAAGCAGAGTCGACCAAATCATTCATTGACCATTCTCGATAAAAAAGTTTTTGGAAGTCAACAGCAATATAAAACAAATATAATATCTCAAGTATTTTAAGTATCTCAAGTATTTTTAGGTAAAATTAAGCTATTTTTTTAAATATTTAATGTTTTTTTAATGTAATATAATTACAAGTAAACTTATTTGAGATTATTTAACTATCATTGTGGGTTTTTTATAAATTCAACAACAAAAAGTAATAACGGCTTTACATTATCTGAATTGATTAGTTGGTATTCATATTTTTCCATGTTTATGGGTTCATTTACTCATTGCCATTGTAATTGTTTCCCAAATATTCATGCCCCACATTAAAGCACCATTACTTGTCGCCATATTTTCCCACTACCCCGAAAAGTGAGCTGGCAAAACAGCATAATCTCGGCCTGCACTCGCACTTTGACTTCCCCCGCCCGATAATGGCCACAATTCACGCGACTCTGAAGTGGGTGGGGTAGAGTGGGAGGGGTAAGAGGTTTTGTGGGAGAGGGGGAGTGGCAAAGTGACAGGCGGTAAGCGGTAAGCGGTTAGCTTGACAGCTGGCGGGCTTGCAGTTGAGTGACTTCTTATCTGCCGCCCGGCGGCAACAGCTGGATGTGTCGACTCTCGGATTCGCGCCCCTGGAAATCCTTTCCTGCCTTCTGCCTTCTCGCCTTCGTTCTCGCTGACATTGAGGGGATATTATCCGGACTACGGACTACGCGTACCTATTAAATATGCAATAAATAATAATGTGCGCTGCGAGCGAAATCCGTGAATCCGTGCTGAGTCACGCCGCAAATTCACTTGTCCACGAACGCATTATAAATGACTCAACCTTATGGTTTTTGATAAATGGTCGCGGAGAAAAGTGCAAGCAAACTGATATTGACAGCATTGACATTCGCAAAAATATTGCGCAATAACTCAGATTTAAGTTGGATTCGCTCTTGGAATTTCCCAAAAACTACTCGGGCCATAAAGTAGTGCTCTTGGTTAAATATTTTCCGGGGAATCTCAAGATGTTTGTGTCTGCGTCAGCAGATGAAAACAGAATAAGCATTTGATTTATCTCATTCACTATCTCTTTTTACAGCTTCGGGTGCGGTAAGTTGTGGGCCAACCGACAACCAAGTCGTAACTCTAACCAAATATAATAAAACTAAACTAAACCGAGGCAGTTAGCACTCAATACAATACGGGCACATAACGTTTACGTATGCATTACCAACCATCACGATGATTTAAGCATTTCATCCTGCAACGGCGTGCCGCACGCCACAAGGAAGGCCACGACTATAAATTTAAATGGCCATTTCCAGTGTGGCAAAATGGATAATAACCCATTTGATGTACGGACACACTTTTTCCATTAAACCAAACCAAATACAATGCGATGCTCGCACACCGGAAAAATATGGCCTACAAGGCGTCGCCGGCGAAGGGCGGAAGTGGGCGGGGTCGTGGATTATGTGAGGCGGGACTTGAACACTTTACCGGCCGCAACTTATGGCTCACACACGCATTACGCATACGCACGATTGGCCCATAAAAAATCATTTCACTATTCATGGCGATTGTTAACTGTTTTTAATTGAAATCGTGTCGAGTCTCTTAGCATGCGGTATTAACTGGATGGCAAAAGTCTAATGGATGTTCTCGTTCATTACGTATACGCCGCATGGGCGCTCTGCCGGAAAACTATTTATGTAAATTGGAAAAAGTGAAACCATTTTAAAATTCCTTTTAAAATAAATAGCCCCTGAAGAGGTTTGAAAACTTAATATAGGTCCTTCGCATTTTGCAACAGATCCCTGAATATTACGTATACGCAAGAGTGGTGTTTCCATATTATGTATCTAAATATTAAATGCAGTTTTTTGATATCTTTGTTGATTCTGTCACTCATCAAACGATTAATTTTCAATTGAAACGTTTTAAATTGAAATCGTGTCGACGCCCTATCAATGTTTTTTTTATCAAAGGCAGTGTGATTATTTCTTCACTTGCTGGCAAAACTCATTTGCAACTCAATTTCCCCTGGAAATTCAATCAAACCCGTCCACAGGCCGTCAATTATGACATTATCACGAACAGAAAACTAAGTTCCAACTTTCCGCACCCCCTCTAAAGTCCTCCTCCGAAACTTTGTCCCAATTACAAAGTGGGTCTGTGTGCGTTTATCTATGCATGTATATGAGTTCTGCAACCGCTCTGCTACCGCTTCTACTGCTGCTGCTTATTGCTGCTCATTGTTGTTGTTGGTGCGAGCGTTTCTTCTAATTTGCATGCCCCCACCACTCACACACTCTGCCTGTAATTGAATTAGTTTTAATGCGATATTCTGGCGCGATAAGGCCGACACCCTGATAGCTCTTTTATTCGTTTATGAACGGCCATTTATCAATTGCAACTCGCACAATTCACTTGCAATTACCCAAACAAAAGGCATAACAAAACACACGGAAGCCCCAAAGAAATAGCGCTGGGGAATTAAGAAAAGCCGAGAGTCACAATACCAAAACACCGAAAACAGAGCAAATACGCAGTATACGTTTTGTGTTCTTTGGCAATTTAAGAGACTTTTCATTTTCAAAGTAATATATGTTTGACCGAATTTTTAAATTTCATGCATTTATTTAGATTGCTCAGAACTGCATACTCATATCTGAAAAATTCAAAACAATGTTTACCACCAAATTCGTCCGTGTAAAAATAATATTATTTTATAATCTGATTTTGAATAGTACAACATATTTAAATGGCACGTGTTTTCTAAATGTTTTCAAGAGAACATTTCTAGGGGTCTCTCACCTAAAGCAATGGCAAACGAAAATCACAAACTAACACATTTTTACAGCATTAAAAGGAACATTTATTTTTTAAAGTTTTTAACACTTTGTAGAGCACCGTTTAGAGTATTTTGCGGGGTGGCTGCTTCGGTGTCTCTTGGCAGATATTCATTTTGCTGAAATTAATTTGCACTGCACTTTGCGGTTGCCCCGCCCCCTTGGATCACCACCATGGGCGGTGATAAAAGCTAATCAGGTGGCTGTGCTGCTCTCGTTACCTGGGCGATCTGCCTGAGCCGCGGAACAGGTGCAAGGGCTGCGATTGCAGATGAAGATGAGATCCAGTGGAATTCCCTTGGAGCGCGCTGTTTGCGTGAGCACTTCTTCACTTCAACTCGAATCGAATCGGCGCAATCACAAATCTGAATCGGAATCGGACTCGGAATCGCAGCGTTCTGGACGCGTCTCATGAACTTTTCAGACTGAGCGGCAAGTCGGAAGCCAGCGGCCAGCCGAGCCGAAAAACGAACAAAAAAATGAGAGCGGAGCGGCGGCCAAAGAAAGTCGACGCCAACGCCGCCGGTCGCCGGTGGCAGAGGCAGTGGCATCGACATCGGCAGCGGCAGAGATAGTACAAGCTGCTAAAAGTGGGCGCATGTTAAAAAAAAAAGGGTGGCGAATCCGAGCGTGGGTGAGCTCCAAACATCCACTCGGAATCCGAGTGAGTGAAAACGAAAGCGGAGCAAGCCAGTCGGAACTGGGCGAGTTGGGAAGAGGTCGTAAATCATAGGATTCTTTAGGTAAATATTTAAAACAATCAAAGCAAATTGCTATCAAGCATGTTTGAGTAAAACAAATAGTTCTCAAAATGAGATTATTACTATTGAAACATACAAAATACTTTAAAAGTTCAATTGGAGTACCATTAATAAGCTGATAAAATTTATTTATTTATTTTAAGACTCATTTCAATAAATATTGAAAACGGAAAATTTCATAAATCAAAAGATAAGAACCTGATAGCAATAGCTTAGTATCCCAAAATTAAATTGCCTGCAAATAAATTAGGATAAATAAATTGTTTATTAAATAGACATGGCGGTTACAAATTGAAGCATTCTTGTGAAACCAATAATTTAACTAAAACGTCACTGAATATTGAGTGAGTTAAAATGAAAGCAGGAAAAAGCGGTCGGAACCGACGAAATCGGGAAGTGCTCATAAATCAATGGATTCTTTATGTTCTCCCGGCCAAACATTAGTTTAAAAAATTAGAAACAATCAAGTGAATTTGTCCAAAGTTCACTGAAGTAAAACAAATAAATACGATTAAAGAAAGAGAAAAGAAATAAAGAAAAATAATTTAAATGAGTAAATGTGATTGTATTTAAATGTAAAAATATATTTATAAAAAAAGCACTCATTTGCTCAAAAAATGTTTGATTTTAAATAGAAATGAGCGCAAGATAAATACAACGAACTTTTTGCACATGAATCCCCGAGCACACATAGCAGGTAGCATTCACAGTGTTGTGGCCAAATTTAATTAAACAATCGCTTTATGGCGCAGATACACCACAGCCACACATGTTTAAGTAGCTCGGACCCGCAACGTAATGAACAACGTTGTGGTAGCAAAATACATAAAAAATGAAATGGCATTAAAAAAAAGGAAAACAAAATCAATTAATGGTTGAAAGCCGGCATTTTCCGGTTTTATTGGATGCGTGAGTTAATCACCATTGGAAATGTCTTGCATTATATAAACATGGTATGTGCCAGTCCGATTTTTGTTGGAAACTCCCGATAACAGAGATAATACAAACACATATTTTAAACAGTTTTTCAATCAATTTTATGTAATTAAATGTTACAAAATCACAATTGGCGTTGATCCATAGGCGCCTTGTAGCTTCTGTTTTTTGCAGTTTTTGTTTTTGGTATAGAAAGCCGAATTGTTCAACAAATTAAACTGGTATATTAAATAAAACTAATGACTAAATTAAGATTAGGCACTGTTGATGTCGCATTTGTCGCAAGTGTACGTCTCCTTAGCTGAAGAAGTACACAGAGTCGAGTACGTTGCGCAGGTCAAAGTCTCCCTTCTGGGGAAGTTGCTTTAAAGTACGGTTTAACTGGCGCTTGGACAGATCCTCCACAGAACCATCGTTAGTAAAGTCACTGCGGAAATGAATATTGAATTATATATTGTGTTATTATATATATTGTATATTGTATCACTCACTTGTCTTTAAAGCTGTAAGTCTGTTTCATAAACTCGGAGAGCTGCTCCAGAATGGGCTGCGAGTGCAGGGCCACAAACTGCTCCCGGCACATTCGGTTCAGCTCCGGGACGGTGTTGGCATGCGTCCAGAAGCAGTCGTGAACGGAGACGAAGGTGATGCCCTGCCGTTCGCAGTGCAGCGAGGTGAGCATCATGTGCGAGGAGTCCAGCGAGTGGATGAAGTTCGGCGGGAAGGCGTTCTTCTGCTTGAGGATGTTGGGCCGCTCGTACATGTCCATCGGCATGTTGGCGGAGACCTTAAATCCGGTTCGCGGGGAGTGCTTCATGTCCTGGCGGTTGTACGGCTGCACCACCGGCAGACCCAGTGGCGTTACCCACTCCACGTTCTGGCTGCAAACGCCGGCAATTAGACGTGCGCACTCCGTAAACCAATCTTGGATCTCTCTCGTCGATGTGAACATTTCTCGCAGGCTCTCGAACGTCTTGGTGGTTAAGTATGTGGATGCGGGCCACACCCAATCCTTGGGGAACTCATCGATGTCTTTCAGCTGGCGTGCTATCTGCAGTCTGGCTCCATAGCGGGTCACCCCGTAAACCGTGGTCATCACGGTCTGCTTGATCACCTTGCGCCGAACAAATCCCGCCAGAGCTTCGGCCACATGTAGTCCATTTTGGGCATCGGCTTTCCTGCTCCGCTCCACCAACGTGGCCACCGCACTGTAAACATCCTGCGGAATGGCCGATGGTGCCAGGTTAACACTGCAAGCTCCTGCTTCATCTCTTCCCAAGGCCGCATAGTGCTGCAATCCGTTGCAGGATCCGTCCTGGTGGATGGGGAAGCGACTCAGGTAGGTGGCGGGATCGGGACAGCGATGCACGTTTGCGATTTCCATGCAGCAGGCCAGCGTTTGCCAGGGCTCATCCGACTTGGCCCACCACATATTTCCCGTGAGAGGATTGTCCGCAGAGTCCAGGATCTCTGGCATGATTTCTTCCGCGTACAGGAGGCGTTCCCTCACCGAATCCCGTTTCTTCAAGCCAGTCAAGTTGATGCAATGCAGTTTAAGCCAACTGAAACCATCGACGCCGAGGGGCTGAGCTTGATCGAAGATGAGCATTGAGCGAGCCAGATCCGAGCCCAGATGGTTAAGATGCGGTGGCACGGGATAGACACGTCCTCGGAAATCCATGTTGTGTGGCAGCCAGAAGACTTTATCGCGATACTGAAAGAAGACCAATGATTACTTATCATAAAGTTAAAATAATAAAATATTTTATAAATCTTACATGCTGTGCCAGGGACAACCTGTAGAGAGCATCGCACCACAAACTGTACATCTCGGCCTGCTTTCTCCGATGGCCAAGCTTATCCCGGAATTGCTTAGCGCGCTCTGCATTGGAGGCAGCATTTCCATCGGCATCCTTGGCGGGCAATGTTGGAAGCGGAGGGAGGGAACTGGGCGGCTGAGGTACATCCAATTTCGCATCGCCACCGTTCTGAAACACCTCAATAATCACATCCAACAGCTGCGTATTCACTCGCCAAGGAACACTGGCCAACTGGTTCAGAGAGTCCAGGGCGGGATAAAGATGCTGAGGATTAGAAGCGCTGATGCGGTCCCATTGCTGGACGGCTTGGTGGGGCAGGCGAATCAGTTCCGATTTGTTGAGCAGGTAGCCACCGTTGTGTGGAGTACTCCACGGTTGCGGTGGGCACAACATGGGCACCAGATTCGAGTCGAAGGTGAGCGTCTGCTGGCGCGAAGCTCGAAATAATCTCGAGAGCACTGGATGTGGTTTTACTTCCTCCTTAACAAAACGTCCTTGATTTCTGAAGAGGGTGTAGAAAGCGGGCAACAGATTTTGAGGCTGGGAAGCAGCTTTGGCTTTGCTTTTTATCCGCATTACGTGAGCGTCGATCTTGATGTCCCGCATCAGAATGTTGTAAAGGAAGCGCCCAACGCCCATCAGCACATTCGAAGGCCACGGCACCTCTGGCAGATCCATACTGGGTCCGCTCTCCCGCTGCTCGTGCACCAGACGCTGCCAAGCCTGCCGCGTGTTGTCCTGTGTCTTTCCGCTCTCCCAGAGATTGCAGTACGAGCTGTATATCTCGCCAATCTTCTCCAGCGTGCCATTGTGCTTCTTTTGCTCGATTTGGTATCGTTGCTGTACCTTCTGTCCAAGTTCTTTGTACAGCTGGCCCACCGTTGGACTGAATGTTTCCGAGCCCTCGGCCAGCTTGTAAAGTTCTTTGATCAGGATGTCTGCAAAGTGCGAGGTGTCCAAGGTCTTCAGGTATGTGTAATAGTTCATGAAGCCATGCGGTTTGAAGCGCACTTGGGCGCGCAGTGTGTTGAGATCCCTCACAATGGCCGCTGAAATTTGTTTGCGCCAAGTTTCCTCCAGTTCCTTAAGACGTTCGCGCTATAATAAAATAAAATTTCAAATAAATTCCAAGGTATTCCAATATTTTTAGTACAACTTACGCATTTCTCGGAATTGGCAAACTCCTTCGACTTCTCGATGGATTTTATCGTTATGCTACCGTCTAATTCTATTTTCAGCTGCTCTCGAGCGAGTTCCTCCAATTGAGCTGTGGTATAGCCTCGCTTGGAGTTCATAATCGCGTAATCCAAGTCAACTTTTGTTGCTTTTTCTTCTGCACCTATTGGTAAAACATGTTGGTTGAGATGATTCAGGAGCTCGTTGTCGTAACCCAGCTGCGGTGGCGTATAATCGGGTTTAAATTCCGGACGAATCCGTCGAATAGCATCCAGGGCAATGTCTCGCTGATCGGCCACGAACTTGGACCTATCCATGATTTGATTCAAGCTGAATCCTTCCTCTTCAGCTTGAGCTATGTATTTGGATAACAACGCCTGGTTCTGTTCATCTGATTCTAGGCGGCCCAAACACTCGAAAATGGCAGCATAGGTCTGTTCATTGAATGCAAGACCATCCTCTTTGATGAGTTGAAAGAGCTCCTGCGACCGATCGAAAGATCCCTTTCCCGCATAACCGTGCAGAAGGATATTGTACAGATCAATGGTGATGAGGCCCTCGGATATATATGGCAGAGTACTCTTCTTCACTCTTCCCCGATAAGCGATGATGGTTGACAGAGCGCGGTTGAGCATGTTGGCCGAAACACACACATTCAAGTAGGTGTTTAGGTTCATGTGCAGTGCCCTCTGCTTCGCCAATCGCTCCTGCTCTTCGTTGACATGAACCTTTGACTTGAAACTAAATGAAAGAGGTTTTCCTTTAGGTAAGTAATACAGAAATGAAGCTAACCACTGCTCACCGTTTCTTGGACTTGGCTGTTGCTGCATTGGCGTTTGGCATGGCCACAGCTGTTACTGAAGGTTTGCTTTTGTCTAGAGGGTTAATATATGGTTCAATGGCTTCGAATGGGTCCACCACTTCTGTTTCTTCAGGAAGGGCCTTGGTTGTACTAAGACTAAAAGTTCGAAAACTTGTTTAATAATTCTCAAAAATCTTTACAAATCTCTTACCCAAAATCCGCTTCGTGCTGATCGTTTCCCATGCTCTCAATAATATCCCGAAAGTTGTGAAAGCTTTTAAGGATATTTTGCACCTCTTCGGGATTCGCTATCACCTGTTTGGTGTACTCATTCTTGCCGAAGAAGAGCATCGGCCGATCGTCGTATATGCCGGATTCAAGGACAGAAGCATCCAAGGCCTCTATATCGAATTTCTGATACTCAACAGGTTGTCGCTGTCCCAAGTCCAATAAGCCTTTGGTCTTCTTATCCTTCCTATCCTCCCGAGCACGTCTTTCCAGGATTTGCTGCTGTGCCTTCTGTATAAAATCTGCCAGCTTTTTGGACTTGAGGCGCTTAACTCGGGATCTCCGTTCGCTGATTGCTTGTTCGGTAACTAAACGAAAAAATGGATGTTATATGGTATTGTATTATATCCACCAGCACTTACCCTCCAGGAGCTCTACATATTTGGCGTATCGTGGCTTGCGCAATCGCTTTTTTTTCGCCTGGGTCAGTGCATCCGCCTGTGTGGGTGTGGTTGTTTGTGTGCGTGATGTTGTTGTTGTTGTTGCCGGAATCGTCACTGTAATTGGAAAGCACATGTTGCGTTATGTGAAACCCTTTTAGCAAACTCCATTATTATTACTCACCTGCCGGCTTTTGGCGGTATAGCATTTGATAATACTGCTGATAGTGCACGAAATTTGAAGGCGCAATTTCGCTGCCGCAACCGCAGCACACCGTGGTTGTTGTTGTTGGGTGGGCGATGGGCGGCACTCGCAGTGCTTTTTGCACAGCTGCCGCTCGATTTGCACTCAACAAACGATACATTTCGATGAAATGAATTTAGTGGCACGCAATCCTCGCAAATGTCATCCAATTAACGCTGTTTTCGGCAGTTTTCACACAGGATTTGTTGCATAATTACACACTGAACCCGTCCAATTTGTTGTTTATTCTCCTTCACGTGTGGCGGCCGCAAGCAGTTTGTTGCACTGCTTGCTCCGCTGAACAGCTGACGCAAAACCAGGGCCGGATAGATACAAATACTGAAAAATACTACAAAATAAATTTAAATCAAATGGCTCCCAGCACTGTTGCCAACGACTTTTCCGTTAGATTTCAAAAACAAACACAAAAAGTTTGAACGAAAAATGCCGCCCAAAAAGGGAAAGAAGGGAGCGGCGGTTAAGCAAGAGGAGGAGGAAGTGGTCACTCACCCACTGCCGCCGAACGTTTTTCTCTACATCCAGCTATTTAACATTGCCAACTTGCCGCAAACGAAACATCAGCTGGAGATCCACTTGTCCCAAGGAGACAGTTTGATCGTGAAATGCGATGAGCACTACAACACGGATGGGATTATTATACAGGATGAATTTTACAGTCGACCCACATTCACGCTGATCTTCCAGCAGGACAACGTGGACAGGATCAACCAAGCTGCCGACAATCCGCTCTTGATTAAGTTATACTTGCGCATATTTCCGCCTCAGCCGAAAATGAAGTTCGATTTCGAATTTGAGGACGAGGAGGAGGGCCAAGTGGAGGCGGAATCCGACTCGGAGCTTGGCATATCTACAGGAGTGAGTTTCGCAACAGATGACGTATACGCGGCCATAGAGACGGAGAGACTGGAACTATTATGCGTGGGTTATCTGGATGTAATCAAGTTATTTGGCCACCGACGCAGCATCATCCGCGAGCAACTGTTCCTTTATCCCATGCCGGATGTGGCGCAGTCTCTGCGCTCAACCGTCCACACGGAATGGCACCTCTACACCCTGTTGCCCATTGCCAAGAAGCTGACCTTCACCAACATGGCCTTCGTGACCTTTGAGAGCATCTACAACCTGAAGGACGAGTACAACTTGGACCTGGACTCCTTGTGGGTGCGGTTGAGCTTCCGTTCCCGCGTCCCCAGCGACCGCAATGATTATAAGTTCATACCGCTGTGTGAATTTAATAACTTTGAGAGAAGGATCATCAGCTCGCAGAACTGTCATCTGGTCTTCGAGTCCTTTCGGCGCAGCGTGTATCCTTGGAACGTCACGGGCTTGAAATCCGCCATGGAGGTGCAGATGCACCAACTCTTTGCGGAGCTATATTGCTCCGAGGGCATGACGGTGGACTTTAAGGAAATCGAGCAGATGGAAGATGAGGCTCTCGTATGCAACTCCTTTCACCGATTCATCCTCACGAAAAAGATGGCCGATATCCTTTCGTTTGCCATCACCTGTCAGCAGTATGTCTTTGCCGTGGAGGCTTTCCAAATTGTTGGAACCGCCAAGCCACAAAAGGTTTTCCAGGGCGTAATGGATCCATCTATTTTGGTTTTTCCCGGAAGTAAGTTTATATTAAGAACTAATCGGAAGTCATTATTTTATATTTTAAATGTAATATCCTTTAGTCCAAAATATGCGATTCGCTGTCCAACTGGACTACCTGGGTAAAATAAAAGCCAAGAAGGCGTCGAGCGTAATGAGTACAAGTGGAGATCGAAATCGCCTGATGCCGACGTTCGCCATCATTAAGATCTGTTTGCTGTCTCCGATCGGGGAAATCTACCAGGAACTGAAGGTATTCCGCGATAGCTTCGTTCGCCAAAATCGACTGCTCTTCTGCGATCATCCCTACGTTCCCAATAAAGTTATGACTCTGGCCGAAATCCAAATGGAGTCATATGCCCGATTCGACAAGTTCATCCGGGAATGCATAGCTTTTATACTCGACAAGAAAGTTCTGAGAATCGAGGATAGAAAACAGCACTTTTGCTGTGCTGTCCAAAATCTAACGAATATCCTGATGAAGTTGGTGGGCAGTGTGTTCAACACAAAAACTCCGACAAACACTAGTGTGGATTTTGCAGTAAGTAAACCCCTTTCTTTCTCCACTTAATTTACAACGAATTCCCACCCACCAGAATCTCTGTGCCATTGCCTACAATGACTTGGAGCCAAGGATCCATTCGATTGTGGAGCAGATTGAGAACGAGGGCTTCGAAAATTTTACGCTCAATAAGCAGATCCAGATAGAGCGAATCATCGACTACTTGAACACCATCAAACTGCTCTACTTAGTGAACGATGATAGACTTGCTAATCTTCTGCTTGAGAGGGTCAGTTTCTTTATTCGTGAATCGCACTTGCGGTCAGTGTGATTCATTGATTATTTTGGGTACATTTTGTGACCAGTCCGAGTATTACTAACTTTCTTTATAAAAAACTAAGCCGCTAGCCTTCGATAGTTACGTTGATAAATAGGGTGATTCTTTAGTTTTTTTCTTAGTAAGCAAAGAGTTCAAGTTTTTATCTGATTTTTTACCATTATTTTCTATCATGAGAGTCAGCCAGCTAAATTTAAAGTCTTACTACAACAAGTTTGCTTGAATATAAGTTTAATATTTGATTGGTATTCCTTATTATTAATTAAGCTTAAATGAAACATTCATGCAAACCTAAATAACAACTGAGCACAAATTAATTTTACCTTTCCGTTAAAGTGCTTATATGTTTATGTGTGAAAAAACGGAAATGAATAAGGTTTTCATTTAAACCTGAATGTGAATCACAAAAGTTGTACGCTAATTTGATTAGATTGTAAATTATGAATCCCGGTAGTAAATCAGTTATGAATGAACAAAATTCGGAAGTAAACAATTAATCATTGTTGCTGTTAGGGTGTGTTATCTAATTGAATCACTTTTTGTTTCAACATAACTGCTTAAGTTTATAAAACTCACTATCTCAAAAGTTTAATTACCCTTTTTAAGGTCTACTCTGAGTATCCAGGGGACGAGCGGCTTTGGTTCTATACGCTTATCATGTACATGGAACGTGGCGATCTGGAGAAGGCAAAGCTCTACTTCCATAAAAATCACCTGGCGGACACCCATGACTATTTTGCGTAAGTAATGCCCCACATAGAAAAAACACTATCTGAGCAAACTGATATCGCGCGACATTCGCAGGGGTTGGATTAAGTTGTATATCAACTATGTGGACACGCGAAACAATCCAGAAACCTCGGCCGATTGCACAGAGTGTCTTTTGAAGAGCATTACGAGCTACGCGGAGAAGAGCCCCCACCAACAAGATGGGTGGATCCTGCTCTATTGCTACTACAAGAAGTTCAAGTACGAACCGGGATGTGCCTTCGCCCACTGGCGAATTGTGGAGCAGTTTGGCGGGCAAGGTCGAGCCAGATCCTCCAAAGATCCGTACAGTTTTTGGAATCTTTTGATCAAGGTGAACCCTACATTGCGCACGTCTCGGGGCAACCTCTTCTTCGAGGTCTTCAAGACCTTCGTGCGTCTGGGAATCTACGAGTTCGCCGAGGTCGTGTTTGCCACCATTGAGCATTTGATCGATGAAGCGGATCGGTATATGATTAGAACCCAGCTCTCCCTCATGCTCAACCAACTTGATGATGACTTTGTTTTGCAGAGTTTCGAGTTTGGAGAAGACGAGGTGGCTGAACAGTTGGTTGGTTTCCATATTGCTTCCTTTTGAAAGTATAAAGTTATTTTAAGATATTTCGTTTTAGGCCGCCATGAATGCCCAGGTCAATGGCAATGTGGAGTTCCAGAGAGGCAACTTTGAGGAGGCGGCTCTCTATTACGAATGCTGCCTTACTTTGCCAAATCTTGAGGATTTCGAACGAAGTGGCTTTGAGGTCAGCAGACTGCGCTTGGGTTACATATCCTACGAGATGGGTAACTTTGAAAAGAGCATTGAAGCCCTGAATTTCCCCTTCTCCGGCCATCTTCTTCCCGTTGTGGCCGACTACATGGTGGGTAAATCCTACTACAAGTTGGACCACCTGGAATCGGCTCTTCCATATTTTGCGAGAACCACCAAGACTGATACCCATGTGCCTAATGTCTGGGGTTTTTTGGCACTAATTAACCTGCGACTGGGCCAAAACTACAATGCCGTCGAGTGCTGGAAGTACGCCAAAATTGTAAGGGGTTTCTGCCCGTTTATGTTCTTAATACTATCTATTTAATTCTTTTTATACAATTCTTTTAGGAGCCTACTGTTTCCATTGATGACATGATGATCTATGAGGAACTGGATGCCCTCGACTATGATTCGGTTGAATTGTACATAGATATTCCTGGTCAATTAAGTGAGGACATCTTCGATGACTCGCAGTCAACCACTTAATTTTTATTTTGCCTCTGCTTTGCGCTGTGAATTTGAGCCCATAAATACCGAGAACCCAACATTCTGTATGCTCTGCTCTTCTCCTCTCATAATAGCTTCATCTGGGGCTGCCGCTGATGAAAGTGGAACGGTGGGGTTATGTGGTTGGTTCCATCTCTTGGTTACTTTTTTTCAACGAGGCTCATTTGTTGCTGTTTAGCTGGCGTGACTTGTTGACACAAGGTAATGAGACAGGGGCAGCAGCAATTTGCTTACATAAGACAGACCACCGCGCTCAATACACAAGCACACGGTGGTTCAGTGGCAGCAGCATGTCCTGGCCTTTTTATAGAACCCATTCGAGATTTGAAAACCACGCTGCAGTCTGCATCCAAACATGGCCCACGGAGGTGGCATCTGCTCGACGGCTTTGCTCGAAGAGAAGCCAGCGGCATGTGTGGCAAGTAGCACAGCCTTGGCCATAAGGAACTCCACGATAATTGCCCATCGGCTGTCCATTTATCTGCCCCAATTGTTACTGCCCTCCCGAGATCCGCAAAAGGTAAGTTCCCGCAATCGATATTCTATTCTATTTGATTTTAAATGTTAAAAAATTGTTGCATTAAAATAAAATTTTTATGCTTTTTTTTTTCTTTCCAGCTCATTACCGAAATAAATTGCCATGTGGCCCAATTCCGGGAGCTGCTCATCTTTATTGGACAGGCGCGAGATTCCCCAGAACTCCGAGAGAAAATCAGAAAGCTGAGGAGGAATTGTGTGGATGCCTGCAAACACACCGCTCATTTAATCACTCCTCAGCCACGTCACTGCTTGGGAAGTCCTAGTGAAAGGATGCACCTGACATTACTATTTCATCTCACCCAACAATTCCAGCATGAGCTCATTAAGAGCCATCGTTTAATCCAGTTGGTGCCTTTGGACATGACTGATTATTATGGTAAAAAATTAAATACAAATATTAAAAAAATATTATTTTTTATTTTGTTATTCCTTCAGCTCCCTCTCGAACTGCTCCTTCGAATCTGGGCAACGTCATTAGCCAATTTTTACTGTGCAAGCAAATAAATCCAGATTTCCAGCAGGAGGAGCTGTGCAGCATTGTTAAGGATTCGCAGGAGTTGACAGAACTTTTAGAGGAGCTACAGGCTCACATGCCATTGACAGAGGCTTCTCCTGAATCTGAATTTGATCCAGCACAAAAATGTGAGGTTTTCATGAAATTTAAAAGTATTTTTATTTGAAATTTACGTTTGTTTTAGCTGAAAGTAGTCTTGTTTCACTTAACACTCCGGTTTGGTATGCCCGCCAGCGCAGGAGGAGTTGCAGAAGTCGGAGTCGCAGTCTCTGTTGTTGTTTAACCAAAGGAAAAACTTATTGAAGAATCGCCTACAATTGAGTAATTAAATCAGCAAAAAATAATCAAAAAACAAAAGCTGATTCGAGTAGTTTTTGTCTACCCGTAGGTTTCAATTATATACCTATTTAAGATTCCCGGTAGCATCCATGTATAGGAAATGAAAAACCCAATTATCAGCTAGAAAACAGTGATTTGAAATCCATAAACAACACACTAAATTTGTAATCACTGCAATGCTTCGCTGATAACAAAACAACTTTGCAGAACGATAAAATGTATTCCCAGAAATGATAAAAGCAGTAAAACCGGGACATCAAAGAGACCCAACGCAAGAGCCATAATGGAAGCGATTAAAAGAAATAAAGAAATACAAGCCGAAAATACAAATCGAGAGTTGGTGTCTCCTCGTTTCGAGAAATCCCAAACAGAATGATGAAATCCGAAATCCGTGGCCCCCTTAAGTGGACAAAGGGCGATAAATTCACCGAGAGCAGGTGAAATCCCGCTTTACGACCGGCTGAGAAGACAGTCATATTTATTGGCGAGAATCCCCAGAAGCCCAAAAACCGTGTTTGCCCAGCACTTAGCGGAGCAGGTGATGGCGGCTTTGGAGCGGCGGCGCCCACCTGGTAACCATAAACGCTGATTAGATTCCGGCTTACACCGCGTGCCTCCCGTCATTGGACAATGGCAACCGGATTGAGCAGAGCGCGATTCGGTAACAAGCTGGCTGATAACACGCCTTGACAACAAAAGAGCCAGGCATGGAAAACAAAAACAAAACAAAACACTTCTTTTTTTGATTTTTGCATAGTTTAAGTATTTAATTTTAAAAATATGCCTTTGTCTTTTACAAAACATATCTCTACATTAAAAATATATTTATATATATATATATATTGTATATTGTATGCAGATTTATATGGTATATAATATATAGGTGTATATATTAGGTATAAACTTCTACATGTCATATGGATTTTCACAGAAAATCTTCAACTTTTTGAGTAATGCTTTTTAATTGTTTCCTTGTGCGTGTTCTTCTTATATCCTTAATTTTTTGCAACTTTCTTTTCTCGCGCTTTCGCTTTCCCCTTTGGAGAGACTGTTCAATCCTGTAGTTACTTTGTTGAGCATTATGCAATATGGAAGATTCTTTGTTTCGCTCACTGAGCACTCCGGCTGCACCATCGAAGTCGAAGCCAACTTCGATTTGGGCCCGCTCGGATCTCCTCGCTTCGAACAAGCTTTGACACAAGGCAAAAAGCAACAACAACTAACTAATTGTTAACAACAATCTCTACACGATTACACGGGCTGTTTAGTGTGTGTGAGAGTCTGTGTGTGTGTGTTTGTTTGTTTGTGTGTTATAGCTACCGTTAGACATTTGCTACATCTTTATAAATTCACTATTTGTTCACGATTCTTTCTGGCTAATATCACCGTTATCACTGCAATGCCTAAACTCGGCTTAAGTCTAAGCAGAAAGAAGTCTTTTCCTGGATAGAATAGGTCATGTGTGCAAACAAAATGGTGCCATTAAACAGTAAACAAAGGAACTAACTTAGCTGCTAAACATTTGTTGAATAGTCACACAACGAACGAAACTAAACGAAACGAAAACGAAACTAGTGAAATCATTAAACAAAGGAAAATTGTGAAAATAAGAAACAAAAAAATACAAAATAAAGACTCAACGCTACACAACAATAAAAACTAACAACTAAAAAGCTTAGCAATTAGGCCCTAAATTACGGGTGAGAGACTGTGTGTGGTTTTTGTGTGTGGAAGTGGAGGTGGAGCTGTTTCTGCTACAGCTTTCAGCTATCTGCGATCTGCGATCTGCTATCTGCTAACTGCTATCCGGATGAATGGCTGTGTGCGGGGGTGTGGCTGATGTGGAGGCGTGTTTGCAGTCTGGCTGTCGAAGGAACTGTGCGGCGGACCGCGCTCTAGATGCGACCGCTTTTGCTCGCCGTCGACGTCGACAGCTGTTCCAGGCGGGAGCACAGCTCCTGGGCCAAACGCAGTTGATTCGCAGCGGCGGCGGCACACGAGGTGGCGGCTCCAGCGGCGGGCATCTGGACTCCAGCCACGACTTCCGGATAACTGATGCACACTCCCACCCAGCGAGCTTGACTGCAGGCATGCGACTGTAAGGAAGACAAAAGGAAATCATTAGTTTTTTGGTCTAAATGAAATTCAGTTGTATTTGCATAACTCGAATCTTAAGGCGTAATATCTTTCAACTGTTTGAAGAACTAGAAGTTTAAAACATTTGTTTAAACAATCTACCGAAAACCTCAATGCTAGTTTCCTGCTGTCAATGCTTATTTGCATAAAATTATCACAAAAAAAAAAAAAAAAGAATAAAAGATATAGGTGTCAACCAAAGCTGTTACTTTTCTCAATTATTATCGGTTTGTGTGCCCTCAACAAATTAGTATCCATCAAAATGGGACTAATAGAAAGACTTGGCAAAGCAAACAACTAATACGAGATAAAGAAATTTGAATAATGACGTGCAATAAGTACAGGAAATTTCGGCTTTAGCTCGAGTTATGGAAAGTTCTCAAAAGGGGAGGAGGCTCCACTCAGAAGTGTCAACTCACCATGGCGAAGTCACGTTTCCATTGCACACCGCACTGGCCGTCGCAAAGCGGGCAGGGACGCTCCAGGCTGTAGCCACCGCATTCGCTGCAGTCGAGGGACACATGGTCATCCGTCCAGGAGACGCCGCAGGTGAAGCAGGAGCCCATTTGCTGGCGCAGCTCCTCGATGGTCAGCACGTTGTCCATGTTGATCTCGAGTGGGCTGCCGACCAGATCTGGCAGCGAGGCAGACAGACCGAGATTATGATGCCTGCAAGAGATTAGGAACAAAGCGGGGAATTCGTGATTAGTAATCATGACAAATTATGGCGAGCGGCTAACCGTGACCTTGCCAAGTGGGTGGCGGCGGCATTCGCTGGCGTGATTATGATAATGAGCAGCGTGCCGGTGAGCAGAGCGGCATTCGGCGGCGTTTTGGGATCGGGATGGGGATGGGAATGGGAATGGGGACGCGGGCAATGATTGGCGACTGTACCCGACGACGGCGACTCTACGGCGCGACTTTCGCCCGATCATGTGAGCGATGGCTATGGCTATGGCGACGGGCTTTTGTTGCTTTTGTGCGGCCCCAAAATGCGAAATGATAATCATACGAATGGGCACATATATATATATATGGCTCTGCGGTTGTATACAAACACAGACGGACGCTGAAGGTGCTGGCCCCCTTCATTAATGGGCCAAAGTCGTGGCCAAATCGCAGGTGTGGCTCCCAGTGGTATTGTATTGAGTGTGTACTCTGCACCCTGGCCAATTCGCCATTTGCCAAGCGATAAGATTGCTAAAATCATGAATGAGCCACCACCAACCCACGACCCCTTCGTATTCCCCCCATTTTCAACCCTGACATTGTTTACAGCGATGTTTAGCAAATGCGAAAAACGGAAACGAAAACGAAATGAATCGGAATGCCCGCCGCTTCCAGCTAAATGATTCATGCTTGGATCATCTACAGATATACAGATAGATGGCGTCTGGATTTGAATACTTACGACAGGGGACTGCAGATGTCGGCGATTTGGGGACCGTGAACACTGGCGATCGACATATTGGCTGTTGATGGCACTGCAAAGAGGCGAGAGAGGGAAACAAAAGTCAGTTAAAGTTCATCAAATGTAACGAGGCGAGTTCAATGCTGGCTGGCCAGGTAAACGCTCGCCGGCGAAGGTGAACGAGCTTGCTGTACAGGTGCGTGACTCAAATGTCAGCTCTGGCTGGCGACTGTACCAAGTTCAGCTTCTGGCCTGGAGCAGATCATTCAAATAGACACATGTGTATATCATTTTCCGCAGCGCCGCGGACGACATTCTTGGCTAAAATTAACAACTATTGGTGGAGGTGTGGGGGAAACCGATGAAATCCGGTTGAAAGCACCATAAACACACACCGAGGCCACCAATCCAATGATCAGTGCGTCATCTCTGTGTAGTTTCAATTGTTTAGGAGACGGACAATTAAAAAGTTTTAATGTGCGAATTATTCGGAATTGGCAGTGCAACGTTAATTGCTCGCGCTTGTGTCTTTATGGGGGAACACTGTTAATAGGGTTTATACTATACAATACTATACTGTCTACTTTGTCGCCACGATTTTGGCACAGTCGCCAAAAATCTTTTTGGCGAGGCACATGACTGCCGCTGCGTCTGCAGGCCGAGCATCATAATAAATAAATGAATATGTACGATTTCTGCGTTGTTATGCGGCCAGCCGTTGAACGTTCTATATTTAGCTGGATCGTTTCGAAAAAAATATAATCATGAGATGTGCCCGAAATAAACCCAACAACATGGGATAGTCTGGGCGATGGTTTTGGACTTTGCTGGCTGCAATTCGGTTTGAGAGCCAGCTTTGCAGGCAATTTTCAGCAACGGCAACGGCGCAAAACGAAATTGCTGTAATTTATCCGAGCATATTGTGCCCCAGCACACAACTAGTTGCATTTAATTTGGTTTTATTTATTTATAGAAGGGCACACAGACAGTCGCACAAAATCGGAGGGACACAGACGGGGCGTTTAATTTTTTCAAGTTATTTTAGGCACGGAAATACTTACATTTGTTGTGTTATTTACGGCAACGGTTGTTTTTTATTTTTTTTTTTTAGCGCTATTAATAAATCCAAATTGGGATTTCTGTGTTGTTGTTTTGCTTGGTTTGTTGTGGTTTTGTTTTTGTTGCAGTATTGGTAATTGTAGTTGGCCTTGCGTAAGACTGGCAATCAAATTACTTTTCTATAATTGCCTGGATATTAACATTAACCGTTGGCAATTGTTTTGATTGTTTGTAACTTTTCACACGCGATGCGAGAGACAGTTGTTAGCTCATGAAAATGCAATTTGCAATAAAATATTTATAACTGAATGCAATTGTTTGACAGCGACTACAGCGCACTTTTATAGTTGGACAAGTAGGCGAAACTGAACTGAGTTGCTGGGAATTGAGTTGATTTTCACCAGATTCGAATAGTTTTCTCCAGAGCCGAAAGACCAAGTGGGCATACACGTCGAACCGCGAAACTCAAGTGAACAGCTCGCTGAAACAGCGCCGTTTTTATAGCCCATGGTGGAATGAGTATAAGGTACTCTCGTCGGGTCCGTCGGGTCTCATCCGATCGGAGTGGCGAGAGAGACACCATGTTCCAGAGCGGGAGAGAGCTAACGAGTGATATCGCTCGTTTTGGATGACAAAGCAAAGCTAACGAACTGAACTTGCCATTTACACATACACACACAAGCCCAATAAAATATACAGTCAAATGCTGTGCAAAATTCGTAATAAACATTTTAACGGGGGGTAAATCACAAGCAAAACGCCAAAACAAAATCAGATGCTGACCAAATTAGCGGTAGTTGGCAACAGGAGAGTCTCTTTCGGAGAGCCAGAGATAACAAATCAAAACAAAACGAAAATCAACGAGTGTTTCGACTAGGAGATACCCGCTTTTCGTTATCCTTCCACGAAATATAAAGCCTACCTTAAGGCGCTACTTAAAAGGGTCCAACAATTGTTTACTAACACTTTACGAGTCTTTCTGATTAAATGCCATTTATTTGACTGCTTTAATTTCCAAGATTTCAGTAATTTGAATAAGTGTTTAGTAGTTGCCTTTAAGTTGTTACATACCAATAATTTAACACAACATACTCTTTCTGTTTCAAGAGTAACAGGTATCACTGCAGATAGCGAGTAAGCGAGAGAGAATGAGCACATTTAACGGTCAAGCGCAGCGGGCGGGCACCCCTACACCCAAACGAAAACCAAAACACAAACGCATACCCATACCCTACCGATATCTCCTCCATACGCCCCATCTGCCGGGCAGTACGTATACGACACATTGACCGGACGGGCACTAGTACAACGACTAGAGGTGTAATCGCCCGCCGGTTATTGACGCATGTCCAAGAAGACGGCAAAACAAGATGCCCCCTGGCAACCGTCAGAAGAATCGACGGACGCGTTTCATTTGAATAACAAATCATTTTACGCTCATGACAGGTAGAGCGCCGGGCAAGGACAGGGACGGACACGTTTACGGGTTCGGATTTGGGTTCGGATTCGAGTCCGTGAAAATATCGGCAGGTGAAAAGCAAGAGTGAATGGACGACAATGGGAGGTAGCCGGAAGGTAATATCCTCACAATAGGACAGGTAAAACGCATCCCTAACTACAAGATCCGCAAAGGATCAACGGAAATTTCCATCACTGGGTGTTTTTCTCGTAATTACAATGATCCTATCTGTCAAATAACATTTGATAATGATTTGAAAAACCAAAATAGAGCTGACACAACAATATTGACAAATTCATCATTCATAGTGTTTTACTTCCCATTTCTGCTTGTCAAGAGAAGATATTTAGTGGTACTAAAAAAGATATTAAATCATGCAAAGATGAGAATATCATGCTAAAAAAAAATTACTTGACTCTGCGGTTATTTCCCCATCATAAATATACATAAAAGTTAGCACATATACAATTTTCGCTTATCAATCTACGGGTAATCTTATCAGAAAATTCTCCCCATCTCCTCCGCATTTTTTTTGCAATGCGCGTGTCTCTGCAGCAAATTGTAAAAAAGTGTAATGGTGAAACCCATTCGGTATGTATAATATGAAGACGAGGTGACTCCCGCGGCTGTCATCCCGCCGGAATGGAAATTTTTGCTAGCGTAGGCATGTAAATAGGGAAAAACGTTGCCAAAGTGCAGTAGACCCCGCTTAAGTTATGCACATGAGCCGAGATCCAAGGCGCGCGTCGCTCGAAAGGCGTTTCAAATTTCGCTAGACCAACGAAAAGGGAGCACTTCGACCAAAGCCAAACAATAAAATATCCAAAACCAGTGGCGAACCCAAGCCAAATCCAAGCGACCCTCGCCAAATTAATGCAATTCAGCGTCAGAGGCGGCGGTCAACCACACACGACGGACAATCACACTGAAGCACAATATGTACGCTATACTTGGGAACAACATATAGTATAACCAATTAATGTTTATTTAGAAAGCAAGAACGAAACCCTCGCGATCCGGGCACGCTTTTCACTGGCATTCAACTTTTGCCGAGGCGCAGTTTCGTACTTCTGTGCACGGCGAGAAACTGGATCGGATTTGTTCTGGAAATATCATAAAAGCTATATAAACTCACAAACTCTTCTTGGTATGGTTGACGATATCCAGAAAAGTTCTCGAATTACGTTCATTTAATTCGTAATGCGTAAAAAGTATATTAAACTGACGACAGCCATAAGTTCTGTATATTAAATTGTATAATATTGGGTAATTGCATAATGACCCCGATCGTTTTGCGGCACTTGGGCTCCAAGTGTGAAGATGGCATCGGGGGACCATTGTCATCGGAGAAGGTCACACGGCAATTGCCTGGGAAGCTCCACACAAAAGAGACACTCTCACCTCAGCGGAAATTGCGTCAGACAACGTGAGGATATTAGTCCGAAAATAACAATATTTAAACAATATTTTGCAAACCTTTTAAAAACTTATTAAGTGCCCCGGCACCGATTGTGTGTATTTTTATACTCTTCCCCGCGAGCCAATTCCAATTGGTATAATACCGTTTTCCGGCTTAATATATTCAGATATCATTTGTTTAAACAAAACGAATAAATTGTTAAACTTATTTCACAACCGGATGATCTGGGGTATCAAACGCCCAGAAATATTGGTTTCTATCTAATCGCATGATTTATAAGTCGGAAAAGGTGCTATCAACTTTTCAATAGACTGAATATCATAAATATACGTTTATAGGGGGCTATTATTAAAATATTTATTATTGGACATATTCTAACTTATACATTTTGACGCAATGTTTATATTGCATGTATTTTCTATCGAAAACATGTTTATAAGAAAAAACCTGTTTATTGTATTTCAATCTGTGATTTCCAAAGGGAATTCTCCTCTGGGGAAAAACAGCTCATTGTTTTTATGGACAATGTTTTTGTTTGTAGAATTCCACTAAATTAAGTTTGTAAATTATTTCAGCTTTCCAGTGTGATTTATTAACCACAAAACTAAAGTCCGACTTAACTACACATTCGATTACTTATCGTTTAGCTACTTTAGCCACATAAATCAGTTTCATGAAACATTTTCCTATTTTTAGACCATTGACTGTTTTACTTTGCCATTCGAAATAAATAACTCCAGTGTCCAGTGTTAAAAAAATCACCTTATTTTGAGGTGATGCAAACTTAAATATTTATTCAAAATCATGTGTTTCAATATTTTTCAGAGCAATACTAAAAAGTCGGTTGGGCAGAACTATTTATTTTTTACAAAGCATACTATTTGCCCAGCTTTAACAGAGTATTGCCATTTCACTTATGCCACAGCTAAAGCTAAAGTTTTTGTTTGCCCAGATAGACCCCCTCGGAATTATGCATAACCACAGTGCTCAAGTGCTGCTTGAAGACATGCGCTTCCTCTTTCGGATTTGGCCTGGCCGCGAGTCTTTAGCTCCAGCCTGAGCGGCTTGCTTCGCAGCTATGCAAACAAAGCTGCTCCTGAAAGTAGCTGTTAATTATTGTTATGGGCGGTTGTTTCGACTGGTGTGTAAACATACAATACAGCTCACATGCGGATGGATGGATCCGTCACAGCCAAATGCAAAAACAAAGGCGGCCACGGCTTGACGTCAATCAGGAACCCAACCCAAAAGATAACAGAAACCAGCAGCAGCAGCAGAAGCAGAAGCGCGGCTTTGTTTTGTTTTCGATATCATTTATTTTGAATATCGAACACGATGATATGGAGTTGTGGGCGCTCTGATTCATTAGGCTGTGGTGGCGGGGAATCTACGATATCTTTTTGGCCAGTCAGCGCCACACGATGATCGTTATAAATTCATCTTCGGTCAGAGCGTTGCTTCCATCATCACATGGTGATGCTAATGAGTTCGCTCGAATGCGACAAACCCGTCCCACGGGATTCCCTCGCCCCGAGATTCAAGTGTAAACAAACCAAAAATCGGAATTCCAACCTGCGGCTTTACTATGGAAACCGTTTACTTAATTAATGGGGGAAAAGTACCCATACGAATATCGTGGTAAACTGCCAAAATGGGGCGTGAATCCATCGAAAGTGCCTATTGGTTCTATAATCAAAGGCCAGATAAGTGCACTTAGTATTCGGTACTCGATTCCCTCCGTCGTCGATCGGAAAAATTTACGAGCCCATCTCGCCGGAGTGCCAGACGAAACTGTTGACACGGGCAATTAGAATGCCGACGAACGACCCTGACCTTTGACCCGCTTTGGCTAAACTAATTTTGTATGGGTTTTGTAAGAGTTCCCCACGTAATTAATTTGCATACCGTGACAAATAAAGCGATCGTGTAAACGAGAAATGGAAAAATTACCTATAAATAGGTCCATGACTTGTTATCTCACGGCGTAGTTGCAAATTTACTAATGTAAATATAGCTTTCTTTATTCTACAACGGCGATGACTGATACTGGGTTGCAAAGTCAATGCGACCCTGTCCATGACTGAAAACCCCAAGAAGGTGGGTCTCATTGAGCTCTGGTTTACGTGACCCTGGCCCTGGAAATGTGTAATTCACCCAAAGAAATGGAGCTGCATTCCTCAATGAATCGTACGATGACTATGTCTATTGTAAATCTTTGTAATTATTCATTATTTATTACTAATATTCGAATGTAGTGATGTTCCAGATTGTAAAAACTTCTTGTATAAACAGAAATAAACCATTGCTAATATTTTTGAAGGGGGCGGTTTTGGCTAGATCCACAGCATTATCTATATCGGGAAAACCTATTTCCTATGAATACAAAAATAGAACGTGTTGTGTTCCGGTTTAATGACGCCTCTAAAATATTTATATCTTGTTTATATTTTGTCTCATCGCCTCACGATTATAGAAAATGTTCGTTCATAACCTTCACTAAACTTGATTGCAATGTGATAAAACCTTTTAGCTGATAAGATCAAAAGGACAACACGTAAGAACAATAGGGTAGGTTCTGAGAACAAAGTCTCACTAAGATAATTATTC